CTAGCACCCTGGCATCAGCTTCAGCGCCCTTCTGTCTGTTCGGCGCCCTTCTGATCTGTCGGCGCCCTTCTCGCCATTCAGCGCTCTTATGGCCTGCCGGCGCCCTTTTCACATTCGGCGCCCTCTGGGCTGACCAGTCGGCGCCTTCATGGTCCTTACCACACAGCATCCTGATCTTTCTGCGCCCTCCACACTTGCCAGCGCCCTCCTGACCTGTCAGCGCCCTCCTTATCGTATTATAGCGCCCTCCTCACCGTACAGCGCCCTTATGGGCCCATCGATAGCGCTTCGGCGATAGGTACCTATCGCCTAGAGGCTGCAATGGGGCCCTTAGAGTACGGTGTCAGACCCCCCAGAGGCCGGTGTTAGACCCAAGGGTCAGCGAAGGGCCTCAAAGGGCAAAGGCCCAAGGTAGGGCCCCAGAGGCTGATGTGGGCCTTCAGAGGCAAGTGCGTGACGCCCAAAGGTAAGGCTTGAGCCCCCCAGAGAACATAATAGGGCCATCAGTGGCCGGTGTAGAGACCTCATAGGCCAGTTTGGGGCCCCTCAGAGGCTAGTGTGGGGCCTCAGGTGTCGGTATGAGGCACTTAAAGACCGTTATGGGTCCTCAGAAGCCGGCATCGATCCTTCAGAAGCCAGTACGGGGCCCTCAGAGGCACATAAGGGTCAGTTTGGGTCCCAAAGACAGAAATGGGAGTTGGGATCATCAGAAGCCGGTGTGGGACTTTTAGAGGCTGGTTTGGGTCCTTAGGGGCAAAATTAGGGCCCTCAGAGACCAGTACAGGACCTGCAAAGGGCAGTTTGAGACCATCAGAAACCGAATTGGGCACTCAGAGGCTAATGTGGGTCCTTTGAGGCCAGCATGGGGCCCTCAGAGGTTAGCGTGGGGCCCTAAAAGACCAACATGGGCCGGCGTTGGGCCCCAGAGGCCATTAGAGGGCCCTCAAAGGCTAAGATGGGCCCTCAGAGGCCGATGCGGGCCCTTAGAGGCCGGCATCAGGTCTTCAGAAGCCCGTGCGGGGCCCTCAGAGGCTAAGGTGAGTCCTTACAGGCCAGCACGGGCCATCAGAGGTCAGTGTGGGGCCCTAAAAGACCGGCATGGGCCGGCGTTGGACCCCAGAGGCCAACAGAAGGCCCTCAAAGGCCAAGATGGGCCCTCAGAAGCCGATGCTGACCCTTAGAGGTCGGCATCGGGTCTGCAGAATCCAGTGCGGTGGGCCCTCAGAAGCTAATGTGGGCCCATACAGACCGGCATGGGGCCCTCAAAGGTCAGAATGGGACCCTAAAAGACTGGCATTGGCCGGCGTTGGAACCCAGAGGCCAGCAGAGGGCCCTCAAAGGCCAAGGTGGGCCCTCAGAGGCCGATGCGGACCCTTAGAGGCCGGCATGGGGTCTTCAGAATCCAGTGCGGGGCCCATAGAGGCTAATGTGTGTCCTTTCAGGCCAGCATGGGGTCCTCAGAGGTCAGTGTGGGGCCCTAAAAGACCGGCATGGGCCGGCGTTGGACCGCAGAGGCCAGCGGAGGGCCCTCAAAGGCCAAGATGGGCCCTCAGACGCCGATGCGGGCCCTGAGCGGCCGGCATTGGGTCTTCAGAATCCAGTGCAGGGGACCTCAGAGGCTAATGTGGGTCCTTACAGGCCAGCATGGGGCCCTTAGAGATCAGTGTGGGGCCCTTAAAGGCCGGCATGGGCCGGCGTTGGACCCCAGAGACCAGCAGAGGGCCCTCAAAGGCCAAAATGGGCCCCCAGAGGCCGATGCGGGCTCTTAGAGGCCGGCATCAGGTCTTCAGAAGCCCGTGCGGGGCCCTCAGAGGCTAAGGTGGGTCCTTACAGGCCAGCACGGGCCAGCAGAGGTCAGTGTGGGGCCCTAAAAGACCGGCATGGGCCGGCGTTGGACCCCAGAGGCCAACAGAAGGCTCTCAAAGGCCAAGATGGGCCCTCAGAAGCCGATGCGGGCTCTTAGAGGCCGGCATCAGGTCTTCAGAATCCAGTGCGGGGGGCCCTCAGAGGCTAATGTAGGCCCATACAGACCGGCATGGGGCCCTCAAAGGTCAGAATGGGACCCTAAAAGACTGGCATTGGCCGGAGTTGGAACCCAGAGGCCAACAGAAGGCCCTCAAAGGCCAAGATGGGCCCTCAGAAGCCGATGCGGACCCTTAGAGGCCGGCATGGGGTCTTCAGAATCCAGTGCGGGGCCCATAGAGGCTAATGTGTGTCCTTTCAGGCCAGCATGGGGTCCTCAGAGGTCAGTGTGGGGCCCTAAAAGACCGGCATGGGCCGGCGTTGGACCCCAGAGGCCAGCGGAGGGCCCTCAAAGGCCAAGATGGGCCCTCAGACGCCGATGCGGGCCCTGAGCGGCCGGCATTGGGTCTTCAGAATCCAGTGCAGGGGCCCTCAGAGGCTAATGTGGGTCCTTACAGGCCAGCATGGGGCCCTTAGAGGTCAGTGTGGGGCCCTTAAAGGCCGGCATGGGCCGGCGTTGGACCCCAGAGACCAGCAGAGGGCCCTCAAAGGCCAAAATGGGCCCCCAGAGGCCGATGCGGGCTCTTAGAGGCCGGCATCAGGTCTTCAGAAGCCCGTGCGGGGCCCTCAGAGGCTAAGGTGGGTCCTTACAGGCCAGCACGGGCCAGCAGAGGTCAGTGTGGGGCCCTAAAAGACCGGCATGGGCCGGCGTTGGACCCCAGAGGCCAACAGAAGGCTCTCAAAGGCCAAGATGGGCCCTCAGAAGCCGATGCGGGCTCTTAGAGGCCGGCATCAGGTCTTCAGAATCCAGTGCGGGGGGCCCTCAGAGGCTAATGTAGGCCCATACAGACCGGCATGGGGCCCTCAAAGGTCAGAATGGGACCCTAAAAGACTGGCATTGGCCGGCGTTGGAACCCAGAGGCCAACAGAAGGCCCTCAAAGGCCAAGATGGGCCCTCAGAAGCCGATGCTGACCCTTAGAGGCCGGCATGGGGTCTTCAGAATCCAGTGCGGGGCCCATAGAGGCTAATGTGTGTCCTTTCAGGCCAGCATGGGCCCTCAGAGGTCAGTGTGGGGCCCTAAAAGACCGGCATGGGCCGGCGTTGGACCCCAGAGGCCAGCGGAGGGCCCTCAAAGGCCAAGATGGGCCCTCAGACGCCGATGCGGGCCCTGAGCGGCCGGCATTGGGTCTTCAGAATCCAGTGCAGGGGCCCTCAGAGGCTAATGTGGGTCCTTACAGGCCAGCATGGGGCCCTTAGAGGTCAGTGTGGGGCCCTTAAAGGCCGGCATGGGCCGGCGTTGGACCCCAGAGACCAGCGGAGGGCCCTCAAAGGCCAAAATGGGCCCCCAGAGGCCGATGCGGGCTCTTAGAGGCCGACATCGGGTCTTCAGAATCCAGTGCGGGGCCCTCAGAGGCACTTAAAGGCTAGTCTTGGGACTAGAGAGACAGAAATGAGGCCACCAGAGGCCGGCGTCAGGCTATCAGACGCCGGATGGGCCCCTGAGGCCGGTTTAGGGGCCCTTAAAGGCCAGTGGAGGGCCCTCAGAGGTCAATGTGGGTCCTCAGCGGTCAATGTGGACGCTTGACCGCCACTGAAGGGCTCTCAGAGGTCAGTGTAGGACCCTCAAAGACTGGTATAGGAGCTGTTAATAGCTGGCGTGGGTTTCTCGAGCCTCGTGACAATCGAATACGGGCCAGGGCCCCATACGGCCATGGGGGCCCATCGGTTGTTTTGGGGGGGGGGGGGCAAATGATATGATGCCCCCCTGATTTGCCTTTTGGGGGGGCATGGCCCTGATGCCCCCCCTGCGACCGCCACTGGAGCCGTCCGCCTTGCATACACCTATGCATTCATATCTCGGCCAACACCGACCAGCTGAGCGCCACACGGACACATTTGGCAGCACATACACCAGTGCGAAGGAAATCCCCTCCGCTAATACTTTACGCATAACAGGCCTAATGAAGAGGGGTCCCGCGCAAGCAACAGGTAAGTATGTGCATAGAGTAAATACAACAAAACTGATCGTTAACATCTAAACATGCTAAAGTATAGCATAAAAGGCATTAAATCCACAAAACCAGTGGCTGAAGCCGCCTCTGTCAAGTAAATTGTGCCGTCAAGTGTAAGTGCAATGCGCCCAAATCAAACATAAAAGTGTCTGGAAAGGGCGCATATGCGCTCGGATCATACTGCAGAGTGTCGTAAAATGGCGCAGTGCGCTTTTATCTGACTCGGTAGTGTCGTTTTTAGGCTAAGTGTCTGATAATTGCGCCTGAAGTCGACTCGGGAAAATTATTCAAACAGGTATTTCGAGAAAAATACAGTGTTAAAAGCAAAACAAAAGCTGTCGGAATGCGTTTTCCAAACACACCTATCAATTAAAAGTGTTTGGGTCACCTTCAGGTCATTATTTAAAAAAAAAAACTTGTTCACCGAATTCCAGCTCAACATCTAGGTAAGGTATACGACACCCACTCCGTCTTCGCGGCAAAATCCTTCATCTGAAAATTCAAGTACATATGGTTGTGAGTGTGATGTACCAAATGTATGCATTATGCATCAGAAATGACGAGCGAGAAAATCTCTTTCAAATGAGCATCATTTTTTAAAGATTGGTTACGAAATAAACGAATGAGAACAGAAAAACGGAAAGTGCTCGACCACTCAGGCTCCAACAGGACTGTTGAATACAGGCGCAATTTACCCACGATTTGTCGCGAATGAGCGCAGTTTCACCGCATCGTTCTGCATCGCGTTTTTCTCATTTGTGGCGGAATCAAACAGTGTCCTGATACTATCACATATTCCGGGGGGCTAAATTTACCTCTTTTCTTTGCAGCGAGCTTCCTAGAATGCATAACTTTGAAGATTTTGCGACATGAAAGAAATGTCGTATTTCAGCGCAGTTTGAGTGTGCAATTTGCGGCAACTGTCGCTTTTAAGCGCTGTCGTTTTATTTTGCGCAAAGTCGAATTCGAGCGCAAAAAAGTCGAATGAGGGTTGAATCGTATTCCCTCCTGCTCCTCCTCCTCAGGTGTCAGCAGGACTACAACCGGCAGCACGTGATGCTGGCCCGCTGGCGCGGCGCCCAGGACCTGGACGCCGCCGAGCTGGCCGGCCGCAGCCACGTGGTGCTGTACGACGACACCTCCTCCGGCTGGGAGGACGCCTCCGACACACTGGCGGCCGCGTTCGGCGCGCTGCGGCGCCGCGGCCTGGCGCCCGTCTGTATCAGCGGCGGCTTCGGCGCCGTCCAGGCCCGGTTCCCCTACATGCTGACCTCCAAGGTGGGTCTGGTCCTACCACATGCTGACCTCCAAGGTGGGTCTGGTCCTACTGCATGCTGACCTCCAAAGTGGCGGTACTATCTATGAGCAGTGCGGGTGCAAGCGGAACCACACGTAAAAAGGTGTTCCCGGAATGTTGTGTGTAAATGTAGTCTCAGCGGAATAGTGTTTCGATAGGGTTACCCGCGTGCTCCGCAACGCGAAGAAGGGTTATTTTTGACCAGTGGGTATTGGGTTGGTCTGTGTCGATTTGGTTGGTATCCATTTCGTTCGATTTCTTTTGACGGCCAAGCATTTTGTAATAAAACAAAAAAGATACATCGCATCGAGGTGCCCGTGTCGTATTATCATGCGTTCTACTTTAGAATGATTCGAAAACTGACGTGAAGTCTTTTGAGGGCCATCGATGAATTCCGGTAAAAATGACAATGTAATGGTTTGGAACATTTACATTTTTATGGATACTGTTGCTAATCATGCAAAAATGAAGAGTGAATGTTGGACAGAATTGAATGTTCTATCCAATGGTACCATATTCAATTGCCAAAGGTATCAGGTTATGCAGCAAACCCCGTGTGATTAATAAAGTGGCACAAAATTGACAAACACCATTTTCTCCTGTGATTTGCACCACCTTGATTTGGATCAATCAGCTTTTCACAATTTTTATATGAGAGGCGGTACCTTTCTCTTGCAAATAGGCGTTGATTCAACTCGCTCCATTTAACGGTCACCTAAAAATAAAATTAATTCCAAAATCCCTCAAAAACCGCAATTTTTCAAATAAAAGTGCCCTCTCCGGTGCACGTGGCGCGTGCTATCCTCTGCATTGCACACCATTCAATAGCCCGTTCAATTCTGTACACGATGCTGTTTTCCCCGTGCCGGTCGGACCCCTGGTCACCAAGATATTGCACGGGAACTGGACCCGTGTCGGCCAAAATTAGCCGTTTTCGCCCGATTTCGCACGACGATTTATACATGTAAAGTCTATGACGCGAATTTGCACTTTTTGAGCACGCGCCACGCGCTCCCTATCAATCCGATCGAGCTGAGACCCCTCAAAGGCACGTCGCGCATCCTTGATCTATAAGTTGTGCAAATTTCACCGGGCTAGGTGCAACGGTCTGGCCTGTAGTCCACGCAAAGCACGACCAAGTCGGGACCTCGGTAACGGACAGACGCACCCTCCTCAAATAGTAAGATAGATAGATATGGCCTTGGTGTTCCGTAATGATTGGGACAAGCATAGTATTAGTAAATATACAGTGACCAGATCGCTTCTTTGATAAAACACTGCCACGTCGTGACGTCACGCGACTCCTAATCTCCTCTCAGTTTGACGTCATAGGACTCTCCATTGAGTATGTCTGCTGCCACTGACGCCGCTCAGTGTGGTTACCAGTACCTATCTCGTGTAGTGCCCTGTTGCACCTGGACTGTAATGGTTCCCTGCCTCACAATGAACATGCAGCCGTTCCCAGTGGCTCCCTGTGTTTCCCTCACCTTTGAATGTATGCTGTTGCTGCAGTACTTTTCTCTGGATCGTGCACTGGTTCCCTGTGGTTGGTTCCTGCAGTGGTTCCCCGCTGGCTGCTTGTCGTTCCCTGTGGCTGGTTCCTGCAGTGGTTCCCCGCTGACTGCTTGTCGTTCCCTGTGGTTGGTTCCTGCAGTGGTTCCCGCTGGCTGCTTGTCGTTCCCTGTGGTTGGTTCCTGCAGTGGTTCCCGCTGACTGCTTGTCGTTCCCTGTGGTTGGTTCCTGCAGTGGTTCCCGCTGGCTGCTTGTCGTTCCCTGTGGTTGGTTCCTGCAGTGGTTCCCCGCTGGCTGCTTGCCGTTCCCTGTGGCTGGTTCCTGCAGTGGTTCCCCGCTGACTGCTTGTCGTTCCCTGTGGTTGGTTCCTGCAGTGGTTCCCGCTGACTGCTTGTCGTTCCCTGTGGTTGGTTCCTGCAGTGGTTCCCGCTGACTGCTTGCCGTTCCCTGTGGCTGGTTCCTGCAGTGGTTCCCGCTGACTGCTTGTCGTTCCCTGTGGTTGGTTCCTGCAGTGGTTCCCCGCTGACTGCTTGTCGTTCCCTGTGGTTGGTTCCTGCAGTGGTTCCCCGCTGACTGCTTGTCGTTCCCTGTGGTTGGTTCCTGCAGTGGTTCCCGCTGACTGCTTGTCGTTCCCTGTGGTTGGCTTCTGCAGTGGTTCCCCGCTGGCTGCTTGTCGTTCCCTGTGGCTGGTTCCTGCAGTGGTTCCCGCTGCTCCCGCCGGCAGGTGCTCACCATCAACACGTTCCGCACAAAGTACCTGCAGTGGTTCCCGTCGCTGGTCGAAGACGAGCTGCTGGTGGGCCGCGCCGACCAGGCCACCAACCCCAATGTAGTCTGCGAGCTGCGCGTCACGCACGTGGTCAACCTGCTGCCGGCGCCTCTGCCGCGCGTGTTCGACCACATCACCTACCTGGCGGCGCCTCTGCGCGAGGGGCAGGACCAGCAGCTGTTGAGTATGCTGCCCAGGTGAGACCGGGGGAGGGAAAGAGAGGGGGAGAGAGTGTGAACTGAATTTAACTCATGCGAGACGGAAATAATAAACCCCAAAACGAAAAGGAGAACTTAAAACAACTTAGGCCCAGAACGTACTGAATATATTCAATTAAAATACATAGCACTAAAATTCAAACAGGCGCGTGATTAAAAGCCGACTGTACCATCAGCATATCCCCCTCTGATCATCAAGATCATCGCATCGTCATTGGTAGGTAAGTCTGTCGGGTGGCTGCCTCAGCCTTGTGCTACGCCGAAGAGTTGGCGGCGAAGGAGCGGAGACATCGGGCCTCCGTCAGAACTGTCTGGCCGAACAGCACCACTATTCTGAGTGGGCTCTTCGATGCACGTGACCTCACTCGAGACAACTATCATTGGATGTGCTAGTCAAATCGTTATCGGTGGAAAAGTATGGCGTGGTCACATCAGCTGCTCCCTGAGACCTCGGAGCAGGTGTCACCTGCATGGTCGCCCATGGCGCCGGAGCGGTGATGTACAGCGGTACGTCCATCTCAGTCGTCTCTGATGGCCTGTCTTCTGAGCCATCAGTCTCTTCTACGACCTGACGGTGCCGCAGATCACGGACGTGCCATGGTGTTCCGCCCACTTCCACGACCTGTGGAGATACGACTCTGGTAACCACGCCAGGCTTGGATTTCTCGGTGCACCTGGTTCCTGGTTTCCTCATCCAGACATTTTGGATGATGATGTAAATAATAAACCAAATTATTACAAATGAATTCAAATATATTCAAAAAGACAATGCTACTCTTTTTGAATATATTTGAATATATTTGAATGCATTTGTAATAATTCGGTTTATTATTTACATCATCATCCAACCTGTCATGGATACTCAACATCCAGACATTGTCCCCTACACAATATCTAGCGATAGCATCTGCATTTTCTTCTTGTCGAACAGGGGCCAGATCAGGAGGAATCTCTTATGTCGCATTGCCTGCCGGGTGCCGAACGCAGTCCCGCACCGGATGCCGATAAACGCCACTCGCCGGTGCACTCGTTCTAGAGCTGGCGTCTTTCGGAGTAGCATTGTACAGGTGCACAGCCTCTGCAATCGAGCACTGTTTCCTTGCGGCTATTACTTTTACAGCCCTATGATTTCTCTCAACTATTGAATTGCCACTGGGCCGGTACACCGCCGGCGGAACCACCGGAGGCGGAGACCCCATCGGGACGCGAGAGCGGCAAATATCCGACTTCTAAACGCAGTGTCGTTATCTGCCAACAGCTCAACTGGAGAACCTCTCTCGTAGAATATGTCGGCCAGTCGTTCTACGACACAGGCTGCGTCCATTCTTCTCAGTGGCCGCCATAGACAGAAACGAGACGGCCCACAGTCAATTACGGTCAAGTACGACTGACCTTTGAAATGCGTAATATCAATGGCCAATCGCCACCAGGTTTCTGACACTTCCAAGCTTCCATGCCGCCACTTAACTGGAGCTGGGTCGACTGATCGGCAGATTTGGCATCGCCTCACAACCAATTGCGCCATCTTACGAGTTACTGAACGGTTAATCTCGCGGCGGGCAAAATATAATGTTCGTCGAACCCCAGGGTGTCCGGCATCTTGATGTGTGCGGGCAATTGACGACAGTAGATTTTGCTCAGTCGCTGTGGCTGCAACAGCCGTGACAGGTGCCACACTCGGGGCATTTCCTATCATGGGCATGATTTCTTCCTGTTTGGCATCCCCACCTCGAAGCCAGTCCGAGGGAACGCGTGTTAGAACATCAGCTCGATTTTCTGCAGAATGAACGAGCTGAATGGATAGGGAAATGCCCATTTCTTCTTGCAGCTGCCGTATCAAGTCAATCCGACGGCGGATTAACATCTCCCCCTGAGCCTTCGTTCGGAGCCTGGCGCGACCCGTGAGCGCATCTTCTACCCAGCGATGGACCGTGGCCGAATCAGTTTTAAGCTGGACAGTTTTCATGCCCCAGACTATAGCAAGGTTGATTCCTCGTACCATCGCATCCAATTCAGCCATATTTATATGTGCGGTGTCTTCGCGCCGCAGCCAGCAGGCGTCTTCTATGACAGCTCCATCTTCTGTTTCTATAACGATGCCATTAGCAATTGAGCTCGCGTCTGTCCATCCCACGGCTCTGTCACCCGACACACACCACGCCCCACGGGCCGGGTCATCGCTGGCCAACCTCCGAGCTACGTCATCAACGTGCTCACGAAGCCTTGCGTCATTCGTCTCGTCGTCCCAGCCCTGGGTGAGGGCGTTCACGGAGCGTTTTAACCAAGCTGCCGCTGGACGTAGCCACCCACCGACGGGTAAATGTCCCACAAGTCTGCCACACCACGAAAATATGAAACGGCGGGTCATTTTTGACGGAGGATCTCCGATGGCATTATCCCTCGTCCAGCAGAGCTCGTCTTTGACGGTTTTGACTTTGAGGCCTAAAAACCGGGCGCCCTCGGTAGCACGTTGGGGTGGCTTACACTCAAGCCCAAAGTTCGCGAAGTGTGCTACTACGTCATCCGCGCTTACCATATCCTCGTTGACACACAAATCGTCAACATATGGGAGCACAGCCTGAACCATCTCTGGGCGCTGGGAGAGCACGGCACTGACTACCGCTTTCATTATATCATCGGAGCTACGTTCAAGCCAAATCCGACGCGCGTCAAGGCATACCGCTTGCCCTCTACAATGACGGTCTGGTACGGCCATAATCGCTTTTTCGTCCGTAGCTGTAGATAGGCCTTCTTCAGGTCGACTACCGCTACACGTTTCCCGTGCCGTCGTGTTCTGCACAGACGTCCGCATCGGCGGTGTGCGAGGTAACATGCAGGTTCAGTTCCCGGTAATCGAAAACGGGTCTTATCTTTGCCTTGCTTTGTTGTTCCACCGCCATGAGAGGAATGAGACCCAGCGCAGGCCCAAGAGACTTTTCATCGTAAGGCAATAGCCAGCCTTCTTTGATCCACGACTTCAGCTCAGTAGTAAATTCGTCGCGCATATCGTCTGCAATATGATACTCCGCGACGTCATTTTTCAGCCATTGTGGGCCATTCCTATTCCTCCATTTCCATGACACAGTCCAAATTTTCTCATTGGGATTGAATCGCGCCGTAAAATCCGCCGTGTCGACCACTAGAGGCGCTGGGATACTTTCCGTTGCAAGACACATACTTGCTCTTGGCACAGTCGTCTCTGTCGTGCCGCAAAACCGCAACTCGGAGGGCGTGAGCACATACACGCCACCTAGCGCCATTATTCCTGACATTCCCAAAATCATGTCCAGTCCCAGCGGATGCCGATCGACGACCAAAGCCGCTAGTTGAGCACTTGCTGCACGTGGCACCCGCACGTGTATGCTGCACACTCCGCAGCACGTAAATGGGTCGCCACTCAACGTGCGAACGACCGTTTTCCTCCTCCGATAAACCCTGCAGCAACCGCTATATATTATATTGTCCGTGCTTCCCGTATCTACCAGCACTGTTCGCTCCTCCCCATCGACAAGGAGGCGAGTCACAGGTAGAGCGCCGGCGCCCACTACTGGTCGGGAGACGACGCCGGCGCTGATGCGGCGCTCCCGGTGTCGTTTCCCGACTTCCTTACCGGACATTGTGGCGATATGTGATCCGTAGCCCCACAGGTCCAGCACCGCCGTAATCGCCGTTCTCCACGCCACGGGGGACCACGAGCTTCTCGCCCTCCACGCATGGCTGCCCCTGCCGCCGTAGTGACGCCACGCTCATCCTGTAGAACTGCGCGGACCCGCGCCAGTGCGCTGTTCAGAGTCAAACTCTCCGCGCGAGTTCCAGCTCTGATCGTCTGCCGGACAGTGTCCGCACTGTGGGGACTTTGTCCATCCTAGCACGACTTAATTCATATCGTACCCTACGCTACTTTTACTAGCTTTATTTCGCCGTCAAATGGTTGGGCTAATGGTTACTGACCCCAGACAACATGGTTGGCTCCTTTGTTGCATCCATCCCTCCCCCCACCCCTCCTCATAGACTTAGCACTAAGTCGTCTTCGGCTAGCAATGCATCGTGGGCGTGGAAGCGTTCAAGAAGTGGAATGAAGCTACATTGTTTTTAGAAATAGGTATTTGCTCATGCTTAGCCCAATAATCAAAAGGCATTTCGGACTTAACCTTGTGAAGCCTTGCACTTGAAGGGGAGGGGGTCGAACAGATCCTCCCCCTCGGTTTTTCGCAACTTACTCAAGCAAAACGTGGTGGAACGCGACGAAACTTTTTATACCTTGGAGTCAGTCAATTTTGTACATGAACTGAAAAGTTCATGACCTTGACTTTCATAAGTTTTGACATATGACCTGTTTCTCCCGACCAGGTTAGGCTGCTATCGATTTGGCGCATGTGAGCGCACATTATCGGCGCTTGTTGTGGTTGCTAACGCTCCAACATATGAAATGCTGTTTGTTCCTGGCATTTTTGAGGTCATTTGAAGGTTAGGTCGAGGTCATTTAGCTTAGATGACCTTATTTAACCTTTCCGAGTAAGCATTTTTCTAGATGAGTGCTTGAAGATAATTTCGAATTTAACACCCGTTAAAACCTTTAATAAGAAGTTTTGGTGCTTACGTAACCTGTTACGGAGCCATTAGTAGTGATTGACACCTGCCTATTATGGATAGACGGCAGGACACCTAATCGTCGGGCCTAGCCTGACCCGATCTTGCATGAATAAGATCATCATTGATCAAAACTAACATGAAATTCGTGATCACCACCCCCAAAACCTACCAAAACAAAACCAAAACCACTTTACGAAGTTATATCAGTTTTCGATTTGCCTATATCAAAGCTCTATGACTGAAGCTTCATAAGGTGAACATTGACTGTAGGAGCCAGTAATGTAGACGCAGTGTTGTTGTTTTATCCAAAAACAATATTTGGCGATGGAAAATAACAATGTCAACATGGTATCATCCCTCCCTCCCTCCTCCCAACCCCTACTGAC